ACATATATAAATATATACATATATACATATATAAATATATACATATATAAATATATACATATATAAATATATACATAATAAATATATACATATATAAATATATACATATATAAATATATACATATATAAATATATACATATATAAATATATACATATATAAATATATACATATATAAATATATACATATATAAATATATACATATATAAATATATACATATATAAATATACATATATAAATATATACATATATAAATATATACATATATAAATATATACATATATAAATATATACATATATAAATATATACATATATAAATATATACATATATAAATATACATATATAAATATATAAATAACAAAATACAATCAAAAAATAGTGTTTGGAAATTTAAGGTTAAGTGTCACTTTTTCGTAAATTCTACCACACTCCTGTATCTTACTGGTAGTGTTTTGGTCGTTGGCTCTTGCACAGTCTCTCAGATTTTCAAATTTTTTTTTCAACACTATCTTGTTTCGCTCTCAGAAAGCTATCCTACAAAGACATCGAAGCTTACTCAACACAGCATGAAGCAGTTTCTAATACACAATCTTACTAGTGGTGTTTCGGTCGCCAGCGCTCTCAAGGTTAGTCCTTCCACCAAGAAATTGTGAAATTCCCGAAATATCAAATTATGATAAACAAAAGACAGAAATACAATCAAAAATACAACATCTTTCAAACTTATTGAAAAAAGGAGAGATGTATCTTTTACCTTTATTGAAAGAGTTGAATACATTGGTTACTTCATTTGAAACAATGACAAGTATAAGACAGAATGCAATCATCTTTTGGTCCAGTCATGGCGTTGAAGGTGATTTAATGACAGAAGTACTGGAGTATATTGATAAAATCTGCAGTGAAAATTCATTATACGAAGTTATTGATAATTGGAATTCAATTGTTAATGATATCATTCACAAATTGGAATCGAAGATCAGTATGAAATTTAAAATATAAATAAATTTTAATTATATTATTTTTAATTTTTTTAAATAAATATACATATATACAATATATACATATATACATATATACATATATACATATATACATATATACATATATACATATATACATATATACATATATACATATATACATATATACATATATACATATATACATATATACATATATACATATATACATATATACATATATACATATATACATATATACATATATACATATATACATATATACATATATACATATATACATATATACATATATACATATATACATATATACATATATACATATATACATATATACATATATACATATATACATATATACATATACATAATATACATATATTATATATATATACATATATACATATATACATATATACATATATACATATATACATATATACATATATACATATATACATATATACATATATACATATATACATATATACATATATACATATATACATATATACATATATACATATATACATATATACATATATACATATATACATATATACATATATACATATATACATATATACATATATACATATATACATATATACATATATACATATATACATATATACATATATACATATATACATATATACATATATACATATATACATATATACATATATACATATATACATATATACATATATACATATATACATATATACATATATACATATATACATATATACATATATACATATATACATATATACATATATACATATATACATATATACATATATACATATATACATATATACATATATACATATATACATATATACATATATACATATATACATATATACATATATACATATATACATATATACATATATACATATATACATATATACATATATACATATATACATATATACATATATACATATATACATATATACATATATACATATATACATATATACATATATACATATATACATACATACATATATACATATATACATATATACATATATACATATATACATATATACATATATACATATATACATATATACATATATACATATATACATATATACATATACATATATACATATATACATATATACATATATACATATATACATATATACATATATACATATATACATATATAGAGTGTGGTAGAATTTACGAAAAAGTGACACTTAACCTTAAATTTCCAAACACTATTTTTTGATTGTATTTTGTTATTTATATATTTATATATATGTATATTTATATATATGTATATTTATATATATGTATATTTATATATGTATATATTTATATATGTATATATTTATATATGTATATATTTATATATGTATATATGTATATATTTATATATGTATATATTTATATATGTATATATGTATATATTTATATATGTATATATGTATATATTTATATATGTATATATTTATATATGTATATATTTATATATGTATATATTTATATATGTATATATTTATATATGTATATATTTATATATGTATATATTTATATATGAATAAATAATACATCAAACTAGTTTTAGAGTTGATAGTAAGAAGCGAAGAACACTACCAGTAAGATACAGCAGTAGTAGCTGCTTCATGCTGCATTGAGTATTGTTGAATAATTTGAAGTAGTGGTTTTTGAAATCAGTTAGTATGGGTTAGTTGGGTACGGAGGCACTGCGCACCTACTTACCCATGATATGTGAATTTGACACTTTACAAAACCGCGAACGTATATTTTACAACACAAACACAAACACTAACTTAACCTTAAATATTTACAAAACCACCACCCACTTCACTTCACTAACGAACTCACTAATGTAAAAATAAACGTTCTCACTATCGTTCTCACTAACGACTTCACTAATGTTCTCATAAATTTTCCTCAATATCTTCATCATCAGTGTTAACCCTATTGTAGTCATACTTGAAGCCATAAACTTTCTCTAACTTCTTAACGTACAATTTACATAACTTACCTTCGTCATCGTATGGTTTAATAAATATAACTATTTCTATCTTTATACACAGTCAATGAAAAGTCAACTGGTCTCGGATGTATTTGAAAGAACATGTTATGCTCAGGAAGGAAGAATAAATGTTTAAATGTATGTTTGTTATACTGTGGAATTCGAATGAGTTGCTTTTGTTCTGTCATTTACATCCAAATAAAAATTTTCAGTAAAATAAAAAATAAACTTAAAAATTAATGATATCACCACCCTCACACGTATGAAAACATAGCGCAAAAATAAATTTAGGTGAAGTGGTGAGATCTCACCTGTTTTTTCACCTCTTTTTTCACCCGTTGAATTCATTACTTTATAACTCTCTTCCTTGGTTTCTTTTTAGTTGCTTTCTTCACGTCTGTCTCCAACTTGACTGTCTTTCTTCTTCGTCCGTAATGATACCAATTACTTCCACCAGTCAATGGGTCAAATGGTCTTTCGTAAGGGTTTCCATACATTCCATAGGGACCATACGGAAGAACTACTGGTGGAGGAAGAGTTCCATCGACTCTATTTAAATGCATTGTTTCACCTTTCATCTGGTCATTAAAGTCTTTTGCGTGTTTTGCAAACTCATCGTCCTTTCCTAAAGCATTTTCTGACTCAGTCGCAACCAAATTGGATGCTTTATTTATGAGTCCTATTTTATTTAATCTTAACTTCTTTGCAACCCAGCCTCCAATCTTTCCTTTATTTGCATCTAATGTCTTCGAAACTCTTCCTCCACTCATTTTATTTACTGCGTCATAAGCTCCAAGTGCTTTTGCTCCAAATGCTAATGCTTTTTGTTCCCATTGCGCCTAAAGCTGCCCAAGCTACCATTTACACCATATTAAAATCATCTCTCTTCAAATTATTATCTCATAAAAGTTCTCGTTACTGGAGAAAGTCAATGAAACATAAACATTCTCATTCATAAACTTCTTTCTTATATTCATCTATTCGCTTCAAAATGTCTGAACAATTGCTAACATCTTCTACAACAGTTATTTCATCATGAATGACCTTCAAGAACAAGCTCATTTAATATGCTATTAAATTCATCTCAATAATGAGTCCATCCTTTCCATCTTTAGGTAGCACAACATCTTTCATTGAAGAAGGTTCGACAAGTCTTATGTTAAACTTACTGACAAAGTTTGTTATACTATAATGCTTCGGTGGCGAATACATGTAGTTTGAAAGACATAATATAGATTCTTCAGCAAATTCACTATACTGGATTTTATAACAATGTTCTCACGAGACCAAATACCACCAATTGACAATCTTGTAAGCAATCCTGCTGAACCTTCAACTGTAAACGTCGATGGTAACATTCCACGAAGTCATCTATTGACATCTTTGAGTCACTGAATTTAAATATTTCTTTAAGCAATCGTCATTATCTAACCATGCAATAGCTTTGAAGTTTTCATTCGAATATACATCTGCTTCATTAAATGTAAAACCTGACTTCTTTGCAGAGATGACTTTAAAATCTATTGAGTTTGTTTCAAAATTATATGCTATGCTAACTTCTGAAGGTAATGGATGTCCTTCCGCAGTCAGTGTTCTCTCACTACCGTTTGAAGCTTGTGTTAAAAACTTTCATGTCATCTCTCTGTGTCTAGGTTCACATACACAGCAACAGGAAAACTATCTTGCTTCTTTGTTTCATCATTATACCTCAAAACATTAAAGTTCTTCAATAATATTGTTCTTCCTGCTGGAATACTTCGAACCTGTCTGATTTCAATAGCTTTCTCACCTCCTACATACTTACCCAGTGCCTTGGATATTCATAAGTATACTGACTTTCTTGAATTTTGGTAGGTTTCATCATAACGTGTTCATAGTATATCTTTATACTCTTGTCAGTTAGACTCGGTTCTATGTTCTGAATATTTCTGACTTGCATTTTTAATGGAGATAAAATGAAGCATTTAATACATGACGTAGATGAAGACATGAATGAAACTACAGACAAACTTAACTCTTCTCTCATTCTTCCTTTCAGTAAGGACTATGAGTTCTGTTCAAATGGCGTTTATTTCTATTGTGGAAAGATGGGTTCAGGTAAGACATTTAATTTAATTCGTCATATACTCATAACAGAACGTTTAGGAAATGACTCATATTATGACCAAATCATTATATCAGCAACTTCAGACTCTATGGACTCAACAGCGAAAACATTTATGTCAAAAGTTCAAGCCTCTGTCGTTAAAGTTCCAGACAGTGAACTCATTGAATTTCTTCAACGTTACATTCGACGTAAGAGGAAATATTATGCCATCGTTGAATTTATACAGTCAGGAATGCAAAAGACTTCTGAGGAGATGGAAAGAATTATTGACAAACACCACTTACGTCAGTACTCAGGAGTTTACGATATGAAACGACTGACAAACTACATTCTATCAAAACTTTCAAAATACCCCTTCAAAAAATATCCTTCAAACACTCTGCTCGTTTGCGACGACTTCGCTGGTAAAGTTTAGTGTCAAAACCAGACTCACCATTAGCTAATATCATTACTAAAGTCAGACATTACCACTTAACTGTAGCAATACTTATGCAAACATGGAGGTTTTTAGCTTTAAACATAAAACGTCTCATAACTGACTTCGTTATCTTTCAAGGTTTCTCACGTTATGATATTGAACTCATTTGGAAACAGTCAGGTATAACATACCTTTTGAAGAAATTTGGGAAGCATATAAGTCTCTCATCTCTCCTCGTTCATACCTTGAGATTCATATCATGACTAATACCATTAAAGTCAAAAATATTCCATGGGAACGACCAACATTGTTTTTAAAGTTTAACCTTCAATTGACTGATGGTAAACAAATTCCATGCATCTCTGTCGCCATTTCTGTTAATATTTTTGCTGTCATTCATATCATCCACTTCTCCATCCGTTAGCTTTTGAGGATATGCGTTAGAATAGCTGTTCTTAAATGAAGGCTTTTCACCTTTGAGAGCATAAACTCTATAACTTTCTGCATACTTTATGTTTGAACCTCCTGAGCCATCATTGACATAAATTTTTATAGGCTTCCACCCTTTGTTCATGTTCCTGCTTCTTCCCTTAGCTCTTTTGTTCAGTAGTTCTACATCTTTATACACAGCTCCTGTCTCAGTGAATTCAACAATATTTTCATTCGTTAGCTTTACATTCAAACCCTTGTCGAGTATATTGTTCATTTCATACATATAAAAGTTTTTATTCTATATGAAATGAGAAGCAAATCCATCTTAGCTGGTGCCGTTAATGTTCCAATTGAACCAACATCAAATGTTGACTCACGAACGACAAACAATATTGTCATAAAGAAACTATAGTTCAGAGTGTTTGAAAGAAAAAGAACCAGAACTGAAATCCGTGAATTTAAACTCAGCTTCAAACGCTAACGCTACATCAGATGTTAAGTTAGAGTATCACCACTGACCAAGTTCTTTCAAGAGAAGCCAACGACAAACCCTTACACAAATGTTCAAACAAATCCTTCAGAAACGTAGACCATATTACCTTCTTCAGTTATACCAAACAATTTTCTCAAAGACGATAAGAAGCTTTTGACAATCTTATAAGCAAGAACCAAATAATTCTAACAAAGGAGGACCTTGAAAATGTTATATCACGAATAACAGGGAAACAATGTGTCATTGACTATCTCGACCCTGAAATCGAATGCTGTGGTCAAACGCCACCATTCATGAAAATAGGTAACATCCGCATCATTGAAACACCAGGAACTACAGGAGTTGAGTTTAAGTATAAATATTCGAATGAATATACAAAACTTTCAACAGAATATAAATTTGTTTGAAATATGTTTTAGTAAATTAAAGCAATTTGTAATATCTATCCAAAACTTCTTCAACAGTATCGAACTCATCTTCATAATGCAAACCTAATCTTATTGACTTGGTGCAGTTTTCACTAACACAATATAGCGCTTTGCGCTCGGGCCTTTGACGCCTTTTTCTGTTCTCTTGACTGACATAACTAATTCATTTGTTTCATCAAACAGCAAAACCAAAGTTCATGACCTAATACATAACATTCATACTTTATATTTTTAGCTCTGAGTTCTCTTGTAAGCTGTTGCATTTAATATTTTCTAAAAAGTCAACTTCAACAGTCATTCGCACTGGTGCCTTCAGTTCTACAGGCTCGCCTTGAAAGTCAACAAGTCTGAATTGCATGTCTTTCAAATTATGAGGACTATGCGAATCCATTTACCTAAATGAGTTGCTATGACAGGAACGTTTGGAATGAACATTGAATTGACTGCATAACAGAAAGACTTATATTCTATCTGAACCTTTACTATTAACTCCTGAAATGCCTGTGACATTAGCTATTTTAGACTCAATGTACAAACAATTACCATAACATACGTATGGAACAGATTTCATCTCAATCGTTTTGTCAACACTTTTCAAAGGAAATGTCATATGGTATGCACCCAGAAGCAATTGAACTCTATGACTCATTCGTGTTATCTTAAACTCCTTTGCATAACTGAACTTCAAAACTCCTGCAATAAGTTTAACATTCATTAAGTTTTCTTCGTTATCCTTGTTTATTGTAGTATTTATGAGAGCATTTAACACTCCAGCTAATGTTTCCATCTTATATTCTACATTATTGTGAAATCTTATTTCGTGCTTCTTTCCATCTATTTCAAACTCCATGAAATCTGTTTCATCTGTTATGACAAAAGTTGCGATAGTATTGAAGTCAACAACTCTGAAAGCAAGTGCTTCATTCTGAAGACCTAAGTTTGTTTGTAGCTTTACTATTCCGTATTCGTTTGGGTCTGTACTTTGCAAATAGAACAACATTTTATTCTCATTAAAATATGACTATTGCTGCATATGCGTATGAAACAAATGAAGCAAGAAGAGCACATGAACTAGTAAACGAAAACTCAACTTTAACCATTGAAGGCAATGATTTAGTCATTGACGATGGAAAAACTAAAAAAGTCATTGATTTCGATACTTTTAACACTTATGACCCATTCATTACAACAAGCAAGGTTCCTATCATAAATGATGGAACGGTGCAATATATAAATTCTACAGTAGATGCCTCATTAGTGAAAGTACTGAATGTTCTCATTGAATTGTTAAAGAGCTTTCGATTTGACGACAACATTAAATGCTTAAAGAATTTAGTCATGAATGAGAAACAAATTCTTGGCGTTGCTGGTAGCAGTAATGATGTACACCTTATGACATTAGAATATTATAACGAACATAAAGATGAACTGAAAGGAGAGAAGGGTGACACCGGACCTCAAGGACCACAAGGAATACAAGGAATACAAGGAATACAAGGACCTCAAGGCGAAAACGGTTTGGATGGAAAGGATGGAAAGGATGGAAAAACTGCTAAATCATGGATATGGGACCTTATAAATACTGGTTTAACAGCTGCTTCATATGGAGTTCTTCAATACCAAATCGGAAAGATATGGGCAGTACTTGGTGAAAGTTTTAAATGACGTTAAAAATGCTTTGAACTTCATTTCAAATGGTTCGGATACTATTAAAACTTTATCTGGTTGGATGCAAGAAACAAGGAGTCAAATAGATACTGTAAGACGTATAGCAAACAATGCACGTACGGGATTGGATACTTTACGACAAGCACAAAATACACTAAAGGAAGCAAATGATATTCTTGGCTCAGTATCAGACATGCATGAAGATTGGCTTAAAGGTATTGACAAATCTTTAAAAAATCACAGTCAGTCTATTGCTGACTACAAGAAAAGTATAGATTTTTTACATAGTGCTATGACGTACATGATGGAAGCATAAGGAACTTACTTAATGCTAACAATAACTTACCAGGAACTATTAAAGCATTTATAAAGTCCTTTGTAAAACCGGTGCTCTAACATTTAGGTCTTTGAGAGCAAGAGCATTGAAGTCAAGAGATGCAGAAACTCCAACAGAAGGAACTGAAACAACAGAAACTCCAGAAGAACCACCAAAACCAACAGCTAATGAAATATTGTTCGAATATTTTCCAAGGTACTCTGTTCTCATTGCATACATTCAAGAAATACTTAAGAAAGCAGACTTGACTTTAGGAGATGATGAAAGTTCTGTATATCTTTCGTTCCAGTTTCAAATAGCAGAACTTTTGAGACAGATATGCTTAATGTATGACAACATCTCTGATTTCACAAGATATGATGACGACCATGACCCGAACACGGTGAAGAAGAAGTTTTACAAACATCCATTAAGACAGGAAAGGTTTTAACACAAAGTCTCATTATTGACACCAAAGATGGCGAAGTGGACGTTCTTCAAGAGCTGAAGAAAAATACTTCTTCGGGAGGTGGTGGTAGGCATGAACTTGAAATAAATGAGATAGAAGAGAAATTAGCCGAAAAAGCAGATAAAGAACATAAACACAATATCTCCGATATAAATGAACTTCAAGCTACATTAAATAGTAAAGCGGACAAAAATGAACTTGACGCAATGAACAAAGTTTTGAAATCTCATAAACACAATATCTCCGATATAAATGAACTTCAAGCTACATTAAATAGTAAAGCGGACAAGAACCATGTTCATTATATAACTTCAGACGAACAGATTATAACGGACTACCATGGATATTTAACACGAAGTGATGAAGCGAAGACAAAAAATGTTAATGAAAGAAGATATAAATACATTCGTGCTAAAGGTTATGACATAAGCTGTACTGTACAGTATGATGTAGCTAAAGCACCAGAAGCATTTGGTTATACCGGTGAAATTTATGCCTCTACTTTCAATGTTAACGGTTGTATTAGTTGAACCAAGATTTACTTTGAGAGTTAAGGCAAAAATAACGTTTGAAGATGCTATTAAAAGTAAAGCTGACAAAAGTTGAACTCAAGCAATGAACAAAGT